TTAAAACATACAACGAATCCTCGTAAAGCTTCTTCCATCACTGGTCTCAATTAAAATTTATTGATATAACAAATTATGACCAGATTCACGGGAGTACTCTACAACAGATCTTTTGCTGTATAGTAAGAGACAAATTACGAATTTTTCTTGTAACCTAGAAATGATTCGAATTTTCTAAATTTGGCAAAGCTGAAGTTTTATCATTCACTGTCTCATGACACTGACTCTTATAACTTTGAATTAATCTATCATAAAACATAATTTATGGTATGATATCAAATGAATCACTTTTACTTAAAGTTCATATTCATCAGATTATTGATGATGACATACAACATTAAACATTTGAAATTCTCCTCCTGAGAAACAAATCCTCTTCGACATTTCGAGATCAGATATTTTCCTGTTTGATGAAAACTCATCTATCACATCAAAACAATAAGATTTTATTCCAATCACTACAACACTGTTTAAATTTATAATGCGGTACTGTAAGCAAAACTAATTATTTATAACGTATTCATTGTATCTTGGACTTCAACAAAGGTTACATTTCTTAATATAATTTACAATTTTTCTAAAAAAAACTAGTTCTGTTAGCTTTTAAAACTTAACTAGCACTTATGATATAAGTCATAGTAACTAATTGTCTTATCTAATTACTTGTTCACTTTTACGTAAATACATACAGAAAAATAAACTAATGATTTAATTATGCAGTGAATAATGCTAAAATCTGAACTAAGTTACGATACATCAATAATTTCATTTAATTATACAGTTTCAACCCTGTTAACAACTTGAACAGAATACATGATGACATCAGTGTTACTAGGTGTTTACAGTAAATTCCATTTTTATAAAAATAGAAAATGAATTTCCTTTCTGTTTGAAAGTATATGTTGATAGAACTCAATTAATATAATCGAAATACTATTATGTAATATTTGCTGAATGAAATTACCAATATACTATAGATGTATTTCATCTGATATTGTGATTAGACAATTGGACTAAATGAATGTAAACGGTAACTGGAACGATGAGTAAGAATTGGTTAAATCAGTTAGCTCGAAATTTAACATAAAGTTAATATGGGTAGTCTTATGGATAACATGAGGAGGGAGATATTTGTTTCTTGATAAGAACGAATCACTTACTTATGGAAGACTAATTTTTAGATTTAAGTAGAAGAAAAATACCCAGCACCATTCCCAGTTACTTCAAAAGTTATCCTAAAGGTTTTGTTTCAAAAAATTGAAAGTTAACAAATATTTCAGATAGATAATATAGATTTGTAATCCAAACACATATGTCGAAACCTATTGATGATCTATTAAGAGTTGATGTATATACACGGAATAGCTATTTCATTTTGACATCGGATCCATTAGATGTTCCGTGTTCATTGTTCATTAGAGATTCATAAGTTGATACCGATTTCTTAAAAGGAAACTAACTACAAATAACCAGAACATTGAAGCAATCCCATAAATGTTGTTGATTGTTGACTGCTTACAATTCTGTGTAGTCATCATTGTTAAGAGATAACCACTCAGTTCTGAAGAGTTATTAACAAGCTGTAATAAAATGAATTCATTTCATGATGTTCAAAACGTCATTTGTTTGTATTCTTCGAGAAAAAATTACTAACTTAGATCGACTCATATTTTTAACAATAAAAATACTATAATCTCCGCAAATTCCCATACTGAAAATTTAATATGTTTATGAATATGACATAACTTCAATACTAACCAGGCAGTCAAGTTATGATACTAGTAACACTCAATATTTCAGGTATGCTTCCTTTGGCTTAATTGATGATCTGTACTGCGAAAGAAGCAGACATTCAGGTTTATTTGCTTTTTCTCCAGTTCAAAGCTGTTTATGAAGAAAATGATTTTCAATTTTAGTTGCCGAAAAAAGCTACACATAACTATCACATAAGTAAGATATTTGTTACTGAGGTTATTATCACATTTTCTTCGCATGCCTATTGGATGAAATGTAAATCCCGACAAAAAGAATATTATAGTTGAAAAGAGATTATGGATGAAAGTCTACTACTTATGAAATCAGTGTTATGCTACTGTCTAAATGATAATAAGAACCAAGTTTGCAAATAAAATTTATCTGTTATTTCCTAAGAAATAGTGTTAGCGTTCACGAAGCAGTGTAACACTCATCGAAAATTCAGTCAAGAAAAAGTATATTTATTTAACCATAAAGCTGGAAAAAATCAATGAAAAAGGATTAAACGTGAATTTAAAATCATTCTTTAGTCACCTGTCAGACATTCAAGGTATGGAAGGATTTTTGTCTATCTGTATAACCCACAACACAGATTAAGGCTCAACATGAACCAACCTGTTAACAAAATATGCTTCGAAAGGTTATTTTTCACACTGTATTTCGTACTAATTATCTTTCTCTACAAATTACAAACAGATATCCACTAAGCAGCGAAGACCAGAAAGATACAACCTCATTCAACGACTAAAATTGGATTAGTAGAGAGGGTTGAAGTTATAATGCTACTGACATCCAAAACGTTAACAACAATGATTCATTGTATTGTTGCTAGTTCTTATAACAGTCCGGACATTCTATTCAATATTCTACCAGGATAATACATGTGTAATTACATGTTCGTCGTCACTAAGTAGAATTTAGATATTCAACTTATCTAATTTCTTATCACTTCATTAAATTATAAATCTTTAAATTAATTAATTTTATGTCACAGTATGTAGCAAACATCAACTTAATATTTTATATCATATACAAACAATACAGACGTCGAAATGTTCCTTATTCCTATTCCATCTTCGCAAGAATATGTTCGTACAAGTAGCTTCAGTGTAAAGGTTGTTGATTCACAATAAGTGGAGGGAGGAGTAAACCATACAGAACAAAATACAAATACATACAAATAACCAGTCGGCTCACCATGTTTTTCACAATGAGAACTCATTTACTACTGTTCTATGTAATTTCATCTGATCCACTCTTGTATCCACCACATCGTTCTATTTCCCTACTCAACTCACTTTGAAATACAAGTGAAAATAATTGTGCATAGAGAGAATGAAATATTATTAACCACATTATTGTGTCAGTTAGTCTATGTGGTCGAGTTTGTTCATGTCATGGTTGGATTAGATTAAATAAGTATTCATTAAACTTGATAAGATGAGGTGATTTGAGGAGATGGATTGGTGAGGCGATTTTCATTACTTCAGTCAGTATATTGGAATGACATGAAAAGCCTTTAGGGGTTAAACCAAATATGCAATAAGTTCAATTCATAAAAATCGAGTTCAAAAAACAAAACAAAAAAACACCATGCCTCTTTTCTCCCATGTTTCTTTCTATGTGAGATTAATTCGATGTTTGTTTTTTATCACTCAGCTTGTGTTTTTTATGAATGAATGGACAGGTGATTGAACTTTAATCTTTTACTGTAAGGTTATTGCTTAATGTTTTTTTTAAATTTAAAAATTCATTGGATTGCGTCATCCTCATCATCTTTTCATATTAGTTATTTTTTATTAGTAGATGAACAGGGACACACCTGAATATATTCACCTAGAGCGAATGAAAATATAAAAACACATAGGTGGTTCCTACTCGTTTTTTATCATCTAACACAAAGCAACATAAACTCATACATATATAGACAGATCGCATCAGAAGCACAGCTGTAAAACCTATATCGATAATGACCTGATTTGCTAGTTACTTTTCGAAAAGCATGGATCCTGTCTGCCCGTCTATCTATCTCTTCATCTTATGAAAAATTCAGCCACATATGTCAAATCATTCAACTGTGAATTTCCGATAATATATTAAAATTGCGACTTTATATTGAGGTGTTTTATTATCCAGATCGCTAAACGAATACTTTCATTCTCAACTCTTTCGAAAAGTCTTTCACAAGGTGGCTCTCTCTTGTCTTTATTTCTCTCAGTGGATACCTCTCCGTTTCCCTCCGACTGGTCCCTTATTATTGCATATATTGTAAGTGTGTGTATGAGGGAGTGTTTGTCGGTGTTAGTGTAGACCAAATATTTGATTTTCTGATTATAGAAAGTAAGGTAGTGAATGATTGCGTGACAAACATTACATATTTCCTTACTGTGTGAGTATGAATGCATTGATTCCACTACCATTGTGGGACTCCACAAAAATCCCTTCTGATAATATTAACCATATGCTCACTAGGAACTGATTTCGGGAAGTAATTCCACGAGTTCTAGTGAGAAGCACTGACCAGTGGAGTTCAAACCACATATGCTGTGAGATAGGAACTCACTGAAGATTACTAGTGGACGGTTGCTCATCTTCGTTGTTTTGTTGGAGTCAGAAATTAACACAACACGGGAGGCTGGCTCAGTGGACTGTCGGCTAAGTGCACTGGCGCGAGACTGGGTTCGAATCTCGCGAGGCGAGTTCGTGGATGCGCACTGCTGAGCAGTCCCAAAATAGGACGAAACGGAGATACTGTGCTTCCAAGTTTTCGCTGGTGGTCTATCTTCAATCGACTCACGGTTTCGACTATGAAAACAAAATTGATTGAAGACTAATATAACACGAGTATACATTTTTTAAATTAAAAAAAAGTTTTTTTAAGAAGCGTCAAATTTCAAACTATTTTCTGCAGGTATAGATGAATCTTGCTCATTTTAAGTCTAACATAGTACCAAACTCTTTATTATTTTACTTGGAAAAATAAAGAACACAATTTATTTACTACCTCTTTATTTTATATATACATATATATATATATATATATATATATATCATCTGGTAAATGAAAGGTTATATTTACACTTGGCGCTTTTTATTGTTAGATATAAAAATGCATATGTAGACACTTTTAATAATTAATTGCTCTCGTTTACAATAATAATCAATTTTTTTAATTATTGTTATCACAGATAAGCATATAAGGGGAAATGTCAAAATTATGAATTCATAGTGTCCATGTTGGTTTACTAATTCAATTTTGATAAAGTCTTGGTAGAATAGTCTAAAGCCATTGTATCGAAATCATTTGCCATAAATGTGCAATAATGACTGTTATTACTGTTATGATTATTAATACTACTGTTAGGTGTTGTATTATTTGAATAATTATTATTTACATAATTAGGAGTTATTCGAGGTAATAAGTTACTATTATAATGATAATTGTAAAGTACATTATTTTGCAAACCTATATTATAGTTAGATAATTGAGAATTTGAATCTACTGTCCAATTACAAGAAATGTTGTTGATAGTTGAGTTTTGCTGTACTTGAGATAAAATACCTGACGGTTGTTGAGGTAATGCTGATGACTGATTTTCATTCATGGGAATCATTTGATTGTATGGTTTTAGTAAATTTGTATCAGCAGAAAATGTACATGTCATTGGTATGACAGGAGTGTTTTGTGTATTAAAATCGATAGGAATATTGTATGCGACAGGATTTTGTATATTTTGGCTGTTCGACTGCATAGAATTCGTGCTGTTTATTGCTCGCATGTAGTAGTTGTATAGAGATTGATATTTTTCATATAACTGAGATAACTGAAATTCTGGTAAACTGAATGCTGAAGGGACTGTAGATGACAGAAATCCTGTTGATATGGAAGATATCGAAGGGTTATTAACAGCAAACGACTCATTCAAATTAGCGAAAACTGGATTTGGTAATTCAGGAATCTGATTTATACGTTGTTTTGGTACAGAAAATGCTGATGAATGTTGTTGCTCTTGGTACGTATACGTTACAGGCGTTGATATATTCAATGAATCAGTCAGCTCAGGTGAAAATATACCGTGTGATGTATTAAACTGTTGTGATGAATTATTCAATCCTGAACAATTGCTTATGGACTTTAATTTCCTAGTCCGCGATACCATACTTTTACGATGTAAAAGGGCGCCTGAAGTATTTGATGAATTTATGGATGAGTCATTTGAAGTACGCGATGGATACACTGCAGAAATTTTACTCTTTGTTGTAGTATCATTTTCTATTAAGTAAAGCAAAACATTGATCGATTTTTATCAGAGAATTGTTTGAAACCATAATAAAATCTCATCAGTTTGAGCCAGAAAACTTTCATGCAAAATTATGTTTTCCTGATATGTGATGGTAACTACTCTGTTGTCTAGTATATATTGTTGTCAAATGAGCAAAGAATGAAAGAGCTTACTTCTAAACTGCCTTTATAAGTCAAGCAATAGTGTTGCACTTTTAGTCTCTATTGATCTGTAAACATTCAAAGAACCTCAGCGATTATATGTTGGGCGCTAAAACTAAGTTTCCTAACCATTATTATTTCTGCAATATAAAACGTTTATTCTATTACACCTATGAAGTATATTTTACAATATTTAATACCTTCTGCTTTGAATAATCTAGACTCATAGATATATATTTTGTTAAAAAGATAATTCAAACAGTTTCGACTAAGAATAATTTGCGGTGAAATCCTAATTTATTAAACTAAAAAATCTAGTTTCTGACAAATATTTAAAAATATTGTTCTAATTTTTATAATCCTCAGAGATGAGAGAACTAATTAATTTGTATTGGTAACTTGCATCACCTCATTGCTATTTCGGACTATAATCGATGTGCGAATTCAAACAACCGAAACCAATAAATTAAAATTGACCTCATTGCAAAAGTAAGTAGCTGTCTGTACCCAGTATTTATTTGGCGTTTGAATAGGAAGATACAGGATTGAAATCCCGAAGAGGACATTAAATTTGCGATTCATTTACTTCTCAAATAAGATGAAACCTGTGTCCTAGATTCCATTGCTAGCCACTATCCATCTTTGAATAAACAAGCGAGTAGTTTTATTTTGTAGGAAAAAATATTTTTTTCGAATAAGCATTCATTAACTGTAAACTTACTTTGATGTGTACGCATATGTGTTTTCATTGAACTTTCTTGTGCATAACCCTTACCACATATAGTGCATATATGTGGTTTACGTCCTAAATAATGAAAATGTATAAAAAATTATTTTAAATGTAACACCATAACTTTTTGATTTTATCTAAGTCAACATAAATCAAGATATAATACTTATCGTACATTAGGTCAGTCGCTGCCCGAATAACTCGATGATAACATATTGGACTGTGAAATTAGATGGCGTATGTTGGAATCATATTAATTCCGTCAAAATTGTTGTAACGCCATTTAACAAAATGTAACATGATACCGAGTACCTTGTGAATACCTCCAAATAACCAATAGCCAAACTAACAACCATTACTTGATAATATTATACAAATTTTATTCTATTTCCACAAATTATAGTTTGAGACAATTTATATATTATTAAATCAATCGAAATACCTCAATAATTATGAAAAATATTCTTACCTGAATGAGTAGTTTCATGTGATTTTAAGTTACGCTCTGTAGCAAAACCTCGATCGCATAAATGGCATCGGTAAGGCCATTTTCCTGTATGTGTATATTCATGTTTTCTTAAGTCACCAGGAGTTACAAACGCTTTTGGACATTGACTGCAGACATGTCTACGTGTCTAAAATTGTTTTAAAATCCAGTAAATATACGAAACGAACATTATTTTTTGTCAAAATATGTATCGATGACCTGATAGATAAATCACAAAAACATTATCTATTAATTGAAAGATACAAAACTTTATTAATCAGATTCGATTTAAACAATAGAATTGTTATAATATCAAATTCAGTAAAAGTACATGTGGATAGCAATATTTACTTGAGAGTGCTGCGCGTTACAAAAATTGAAAATCATGCTCCATCTATCGTATAGTTGTTTAATAATGAGGTGTTCATTATAACTTATTGAGTAATATGCGCAACGTCGAAATAACTAGTTCAAATCACGTGATTTATCAATATTCTAAAGTAATAATATGTAATCTTACTTCTTAGCTGAGTCCAGATCCTATGTATGATCGTTAGTTCATATTTTATTTGTCCAAAATCATTTGTTTGGTTGATAATTTTTAGATAAGTCTTCGAAAGCTTATTATATTATAAGCAGACAATAAGGTCGAATAATGTAAAAGTGGTTTTTAAATATATTGAAATTTAATGCCTATTGTTGACGAATATGTTTTGGGCCTAATACTCATTACAAATGAAGAGAAAAAGAAAATTCCATGTATATCTCTAAGAAAAAGTGATTCACTTATATATGGTTAAAAGTATTTCCTTGAGAATTAATAAATATAAACAAATGCAACTTACATTTGTATGGGTATATTTATGAAATATGAGGTTAGACCCAGCTGCAAAACGTCTACCGCATATGCGACAAACATATGGTCTTTGTCCAGTATGTGTACGTTCATGAGTATTCACACCACTACGTGTTGAAAAGCCTTTGGAACAATATTTGCACTCAAATGGACGTTCACCTGAAATAAAAGAAATACTCATTGGAATAAATTTTATATTGTCGATTTTAATATTTTTACGTTCATATGAATAGTTAGGTATATAATATATGGAACATTTAATTTCATAATAAAAATTTTTTTTCTGACCCTTGTCTACTGACTATTCTTTTTTTGTGTTTTACAACGAGCCGTGGAACGCTTAAAATTGAATATTCTTATTCTGATACTACTAGTTCATAACTTAAGTTGAATACTTGAAAGCTCTTAACTTTAAACTACGTTTTGTGAATATCTCTTTCTTTATGATATAACATTATAGGATGAATCCAAATCAGTACACCTCATAACTGGTAAACAATAACTACGCTTATAGTAGAAAATTTGATTAAATAGAACTCTGTTTGTTAATCAGATTTTATTCAGATCACTAATGTCTAACGCAATTATTTTCTACAGGACTACGTAGACATACAAATCTGTTTAGTCAACTAAATTCTTACCTGTATGTGTTAGTGTATGACGTTTTAATAAGGATGGACGATCAAACTGCTTATCACAATGTTCACAAGTGTGCATACGTCGTTGCCTTCTTCTACCACTAGCAACTTCATTATTCCCAACTTTTATCAATGTGGATTTTACTGTTTGTGAAGTATCAATCAAATCAGCAACACATAAATTTAACTTGACCGACTTATTCAAAAAAGAATGTTTAACTGGTTTCGTCAATTTTTTCTTGAATTTTTCATGATCCTTTGAACTTTGTTTACCAGCTGTTGGATTACTGAGTAAATGACTGATTGTAGAATTCACTTGTTGATCATAAAATGTTGATGTTGTAGATGGTGATTGTTTCCCGGAATTTATTGACGCGTTGTCACATATTGTAAAATCAATACTATTGATACTACTGTCAATTGGTATTGTAATTTTTTCTTGAACTTCTCTATTTAGTTTGTAACGTTTTATTTGTGTTGCTGGTGTCGATGTGGCATCAAGTTTGGACTTAGATAAGGGTTTTGGTGTTTTATTATTCTGTAACGAAAACAGTGTTTAAGAAATTCATATTACAAATAACATAATTCAGTTTATTTTAGATTTGCTACTCAACTACTCACCTTAGGAACTTATAGTACCAATTGTATAAGTACTTTGTTATCATTAGTTGTGAAGAGCACTCAACCGTGTGTCGTACACTTTGTATCGAAGATGACACTGTTTCAACTTAGACTAAATTAAGTTCCAAAAATAACCCTATCACCGTATAAATTTTCAGAATGGATGATGTAATTAAATAAACTGATTCGAAAATAGCTTGAGATTATTTCTTTCGTCTAATACACAACACATGTAGGGTAGTTTTGGCAGATCTTATTAAACAGTTTTCATTCTAAAACGATTGAAATATTTAAATAATCTTTATGATCTTCGTTTAATGAGGTTATAATGCCTGATCTAATTTTTAGGTTGCATCCGTCATAAATTTACTCAGTTGAGATAACACACTAAACCAGAGGACACTGGACAGATGATACGTACAAAGATGAACTCTTTATCAGTGTAACTTACAATACTCTTTGCATAGCTCAAATACAAAATTTTCAAGTTTCATACTAAACACTTAAATATTAAAATTATTAAGTTGGCGCTAAGTGGTACAACTCCAACAATTGTATCACGTCTTACATAACTGAACGGCATCAGTTACGTCTCAATTATTATAGTTTGTTGATAAAGTATTGTAAATTTGTATTAAACAGATAACAAAACATACCTGTAACAATAATAACTCTTTATCTGATTCTGGGCTTGTATTATTTGATGAGGAACCGGATGATGTTTTAAAATAGGTTGTACCAATACCACTATCTGTCGACGTTTTTATTGTAAAGAACAAAAAAGAAAAACCAAAAGAATTTATGATACCACTAATACTTTTATCAATCAAAGTTGTAATAAATAATGATAATTTTCATTATTTTATATAAAGTATTATTTATTTGACTGCTTATTTAATGAATGATTAACAATTGAGTCTAAAATCTATTTCAAGATCTATTCTGTATTCTGAATCAAATTCGTAATTTCATAACACATATGTTCATACTAATGGAATTAGTTATATGATAGACATTTTGAATACACTTTCCGTCTATGAAACGATGATAATAATAATTGTTGAGTAGTGAGATTGATCTGATAGAGTACTGTAAATTTTTATCGCGAAATAAGGTCGCATCAAGATCTTAAAATATTACCGGTCAGTGAGTATTTAATTATTCATGTATTCAGTTTTAATTAATTTATCAGAATTCGCAAAACAAAGACTTACCCTTCATCGAATCACCGATGCAATGTGAATATTCATCAAGTAATTTTTTAGACGTTTGTAATGATTGCTTATTGCTCTCAGTGTCCATTGCGAATTGCTCAAAATCACAAATGAAGAAATAGAATTCTGAGATAAAGAGAAATTAAGTAAATTTCAGTTGGATTCGGATAATATAATTTCTTTGAAAATTCGAGTAAACAGATTAAATAACTAAAGCATTCTGTTTCAAACCGAACCGTTTAACACTTTTAATGGATTTGGTGCAATAACGAATCCATTTCTACCGGATGCATTTATCCTAAAAGATACTGATCAATCGCTATCTAACAGTCCAAGCAAATCAATGAAAATAACTCTTTCAAAAAAGTATTAATCTTGATTGTTATCAGTACGTTTTGTTATACTGTCTTTTTGAAGTTACATTTTTAAATCATTTTCCACAACTTTATTGTTTCACACCAGCTTAGTTGGGTTTTTTTGCAGTTTTTCGCTTCCGTACATTTAATATATCAGGATTTTTTTTTACTAAAAATGCATTTCACGATATTATACAATCAGATAAATTATATACCTTTACTTAAACATTCAGCTTATCATTAAATCTTGTACTGAAATGCTAGTGCTGTAATTGTGTAGAACTATTTGTGAACGAAGGAGATGATGTCATCATTACATAATCTCATTGCTTCAGTTATAACTAAAAAACTTAACTTTTATAAATCTTATTTACTTATTTTTATTGTTATTTGTTTATTCACAATGTTTGTTTATTTTCATTGTATTTTGAGACGACACATAATTTCCTTAGCATTATTATATAAACATCCTTATTTTGCTTTCTGTGACAGATTAAAAAACACAAGATAAGATGAGGAAGAGTAACATTTGCTAATAATAATAATAATGCCGAGAATAAGAATAGTAAAAGTAAATGAAACATTTGGGAATGTTTAAAATGAATTGATATGTAGACTAGTTTTATTCATAATAATATATAATTATCTGATTTCTCTGTATAACTTATAATAATACAATGAAAACATCCCAATTTTCTTTTGAGATTAAATTAAAACTGCCATTTTCAATCTATTTTCAAAATTATAACTTAATACCAGTCGATAAGGGGACATGTACTCGTTAAAGAAATCCATTAGTTTTGTTCAAAGAGTGATACCTTTTAAAGGACGTATTGACTACATTAAAATTGATAATATTAACGGCAATTGCAACATTATAAAATTAGATTCAAACTGCTATAATGTATTACATATAATGTTTATGAATTTGACATCGGTCCCTAATGACCTTTTCTACTACGAAATACTAAACCTTATTGTTTTATTTACCAATTACCTTGTTATCATTATCTATGTAAAAAAGTCACTCATTAATACGTCAAAGCAATCATCACTAGAATAAGGCATACTTGATTAAAGCTCAATTATTAATCACTACGTTACTAGGCCAATTACATAAATCAAATTAAAATTTGTTTGTATTCTGACGTAACCATAATAAATTTTTAAATATAATTTCTGAATCATAATTCATTTAATTGTTACCAAAATTTACCACGTTTCTCATCTTTAAAAATGAGCTGTAATCACATGCTGTTTAAGCATAGAAAAAATAATTACCTAGTTGCCAGGTTCAATGGTGTAAGTATTTGATCGGATATCAAAAAATTATATATTTCCGAAAAAATAATTAAACATCGACTGGTACTAATTAGATTGCAATAACTATTATGCAATCATTAAAATATAAATTTCAAGTATTTTCCTAAATTCATTGGTAAATGATGTTAGCCTCTCTGAACAATAAAAAAAAATATATTCAATAAAATAACAAAAAAACATCGGAAAACGAATTAGCAACAACTACTGTGGTTACCTAGTATTAAGGTCGACAAAATTAATGTTATTCATTGTATCTTAGTATATTTTCAACCATATTTCGTTTGTTAATTCTTAGTTAACTACAATCAAATTGTTAACTATAGATATTTATGAATGAGTGCAACCGTCGCAATACCGCGAGGTATTCATCATCTAATCCCAAAACATTAACATTAGTAACATTGTTAATTTATAGAGTTTAATGTAGAATATCAGAAAAATTAATAAGTGATTTAAGTTTATCTTTCATAATTGAAACATAATTTCCAATCTTAATTAGTTCTCAACGTTAAAATTTTTTAATTCCTCTGTACCGTATTCTACCATACTAGATCAGGCATGTAAAAGCAGTAACTAACAGATATTTATTAAAAATGGAATGTTAATAATTTAACTGGATTAGATCGGTAGTAATAAATAAAGAACAAGTCTGTTCTTATTTCCTTTCTTTACCGAGAAAAATTAAAATTTGGTGATTATTTGGAAATATATAGAAGTAGACTTTCACAGAGAAAAATTGCGAAACGAATTAAATTTTTTGAAAAAATTTTGAGTTCTATTTATCATTGCAAATAGTACTGTACTTCAATTTAAACAGCTTTGTGAATTCTACTGATTACAACTTGATGCACATATTGAATTCCCGGTGCAACACAACCTACTCTTTAGCGACTCGACTAAAATCCGATTATCTGGACAAGTTTATTGAAAATTCATTAAAATAAATTATTACTTTCATGACAATTTCTATCACAACATTATATAAACCCACATGTTGTACATACATATCAAAAGGTTCTAATATATGACCCATATATTTTTCGTTGATTAATATGAAATAGTTGACACATTTTCATTTTTTCTTTATTTCTCTCACAGCAGGGTTTCAACACCAATATTATGGCACTTAATTACTTGACATGACATAATTATAAATTAAATAACAAGAAATCACTAACGTGTCCATAATCTATAATCCCGACAAAAAAACTAGTATATCAAAAAAATTTATTATTATCTCACTGATATTCAGGTAATCCTTGACAAACATCATCTGTTCACCAGTTTTATTTTGATGAATTTGATTCTGTCAGTTTTATATTACTCCATCTCACTCTACATATGTTTAATTATCAACCGTTTTATACGGCGAATCCGAGTGGAAATAGTAATGGTTGTGCAAAGACTTTTGCCCTTGTGTGTCTCAAAATTTCAGCCTGTTGCGAAATATGAACTTATGAGTAACAAAATGATCCCAACATTCATGTGTGATGGAACTTATTGTGATTGATTGGTTATCAGAAAGAGGTTTTATTCAAAGTATTAAAGATTGTTTTCAGTGATAGATAACTTTGGACTTAAATGCCCTAAGTGGTATTCGTTTAGGTATAGGAATGAGTTGATCGAAATAAGTGGAAAAAACACCTGAGATATATGTTAGCATTCTATAATATTTTAATGTCCTGTAACGTGAAAATTTTATCGATTTCAGCATTACATTAACGGTAATTCAACTATCATGTCAACCGACTCATAATAAGAAATTATTCAATTACTTATAACATTGAAAGATAAAGAAACCAATAACCATTTGTGTTTTATTCACAGTGCAAATATCTGAGATTTATTTGTATGTTTTCACTAAGACTTACCAACATACATATATATTTCAGTTTACGAAATATTTGATGAAGTGAAATTCTCAGTTGATAACAGGGATTATGCTAATTGTTAGTCAAGAGTTGTGTTAGATACTGTCTAATTCACAACAATTGATTATGATAGAATTAATGTTGACAAAATAACTCCTCGAATTCATTATAGTCGATCGCACCTGCTTTTCAATGTCAGCAACATAGATACTTAATAAACAGTACGGATTCATTTTAAACAACTATCAATAATCACCACGTAATCGATCGTTTATCGAGAGTGTGGCTTAGTCGACGTAGTATGATGTATCCTATCTCTTCCCCCTACCCCTCCACATTTCTTAATGTCTCTCAAACACACAGATGCACATCGAAACTATGAGAGATGTTGTGAATGAGGACGGAAATATCAATTTTGTTTATACGATTTTGCACATAATGATTACATCATCTATTATTTAGTGTTTTCCAGCACTGATCATGGTCATTTCATCAGTTGAGGCGTGATTTAATCAAAAAGTATGCATCCATGGTATAACAATGACAAACTAACTATTACTACTATTACTACCTTAATGTTTATTGACAATAGTTTTTTGATTACATAAACAATCTATATGCATACTATGTCCTATGCACTGAAAACACATAACATTCAAAGTTGATCATTAATCTGAACTATCAGTTTATCTATTAACCAATTCACATATGAATAGATAGTGGTGTTGGTTACCAAGGTGATTGTTGACTAGTTGAGGTGTCGAACAAATGAAAAATACGAGCTGATAGGAAGGATTACATAAGAATGGTTAGATCACACAAACACATTAATGTTTAATCATAGTTAAATCGTTTCAATTAGGAGGTGAATTGATGATGAATTACGAGTAAGCAAAAAAAACTCATTTTGATCACTCATTTATACACCAAAATGTAGCAGTAAACCATTTTAAAATACTTCCATATTTATATACATTAATATACATATACACTGCCATGTTTTTGACAATGTATGCCATATATGTCCCATTTTAACTGTTTTTTTATCCTACACTCGTTTCTTATACCGCGATATACTTTACTGAAATAGTCTTACTAAACTTTAATTTACACTGGATGTTTTCGGTAGAAAATATTTTCAAAACAACAGTGGGACATCAAAATTTTAAGTACTAAACTGTTCTATATATATATATATATATATCAGCAATTCTCACTATATTCCTGTGACACTACAACCAGCTAATAACAATTTTATTTTAAATAACCTTCCAAAGATTAGTTCTTTTTCATCACTTCAAATTCATAGTTAGTTAATGCTATGACGACTTTAATAATCCTGTTTTATTTCAACACATTTAAACTCATTATGAACCAAAGTTATCGCTTCCCCTATAATCATCAATGGAAACGACATTGGTTGAAATATCGGAATCTAGTTATACGTAACAATTTTGGAATACACTCCTTTTACTACTGTGTTTGAAGCTGTTTTATAGTACTCAAAAAGTTATTGAATTCAACTTAAAACTGACAAA